GGCCACTCCAGGACCTTAATGTGCTTCTTCTTGAGCCACTCCTTTGTTGCCTTGGCCGTGTGTTTTAGGTCATTGTCATGCTGGAATACCCATCCACGACCCATTTTCAATGCCCTGGCTGAGGGAAGGAGGTTCTCACCCAATATTTGACGGTACATAGCCCCGTCCATCGTCCCTTTGATGCGGTGAAGTTGTCCTGTCCCCTTAGCAGAAAAACACCCCCAAAGCATAATGTTTCCACCTCCATGTTTGACGGTGGGGATGGTGTTCTTGGGGTCATAGGCAGCATTCCTCCTCCTCCAACCACCTCCTTCACCCAGTTCTCCTCTGAATCATTCAGATCTTCATTGGCAAACTTCAGACGGGCCTGTATATGTGCTTCTTGAGCAGGGGGACCTTGCGGGCGCTGCAGGATTTCAGTCCTTCACGGCGTAGTGTGTTACCAATTGTTTTCTTGGTGACTATGGTCCCAGCTGCCTTGAGATCATTGACAATATCCTCCCATGTAGTTCTGGGCTGATTCCTCACCGTTCTCATGATTATTGCAACTCCACGAGGTGAGATATTGCATGGAGCCCCAGGCCGAGGGAGATTGACAGTTATGTTGTGTTTCTTCCATTTGCGAATAATCACACCAACTGTTGTCACCTTCTCACCAAGCTGTTTGGCAATGGTCTTGTAGCCCATTCCAGCCTTGTGTAGGTCTACAATCTTGTCCCTGACATCCTTGGAGAGCTCTTTGGTCTTGGCCATGGTGGAGAGTTTGGAATCTGATTGATTGATTGCTTCTGTGGACAGGTGTCTTTTATACAGGTTACAAGCTGAGATTAGGAGCACGCCCTTTAAGAGTGTGCTCCTACTCTCAGCTCGTTACCTATATAAAAGACACATGGGAGCCAGAAATCTTTCTGATTGAGAGGGGGTCAAATACTTATTTCCCTCATTAAAATGCAAATCAATTTATAACATTTTTGACATGTTTTTCTGGATTTTGTTGTTGTTATTCTGTCTCTCACTGTTCAAATAAACCTACCATTAAAATTATAGACTGATAATTTCTTTGTCAGTGGGCAAACGTACAAAATCAGCAGGGGATCAAATACTTTTTTCCCTCACTGTAGCTGGATAGCTAGGCTGACAGTGCTGTGTTCCAGGATGGAATGGCATCCCAGATACACACTCGTCCGTGGCCGAGCCTTGCAGCCATCCCATACATCTCTCTACATGGAGCGGGCGATGATAAGCGTGAATCACGGAGCCACCTGTTAAATCACTCGTTGGACTCGTTCTGCGCTAATTGTTTACAGTGTGCCAACACGAACGGAACGCTCTTTATAGTTTTTATGTGGAACTCAGCACTCACGTTCTCCAGCCCAGGGTATTTTTAGCTGTCTCTAACACCACTGTGTGACCGCAGCAGCAAGGCACAGCTGAGTGCTTCTGTCTGCTGCTTCCATGACCTCACTCTCTTCCACTTGTCTATTCTCCTGGCGGGCTGCGTTTGGGCAGGGTGCCCGTAACCAGGGGTCAGTGTGTGTGTGGTGCGATGTGGGAATGGTGCCCTTAGCCACCTGCCTGAACCTACAGTAAGTGGATGTCTGGTCTTCACTGGCACTGTGTGTGCTTGTCTACATATGTGCATGGACAATTGAAAAAGAAGGCCTGTCACTAAGGGCTTTAGATTGGAACCAGTCTGTGCCCACTGCAAAATGTTACGCGAAGATGGGAACCATGTGCCACAATGATTTAATCGCATCATCTCCCAGAAGTGCCTACATGTCAGAGACAATTAGAAGCAACTTCTCTCTACACTGGCCTCTATGTCCTCTGGCTGTAGGTTAGATGTTTTTATCAACAGTGTTAGCGATGCTAATGCTAATCTAATGGTATCACATTGGCGTGTGAGCGCACTAGGCCTTTTAGTTGTTTTCCCTGTCATTCCAGGCGCTGTTTTGTGGCCTCGTCACAGCGCTAGGCTAATCCCAGAGGAGCGCAGTTTGTGCTGGTGCAATTATATCTCCGGTGCTGTGAATAAAGCGAGTATTAATTCCCTTAACTGAGCAATGCAGGCTTCTTTGGGCAGGAGGATGACGTGGGGGAGATGCTAGCTTATTAGCTGGCCTACCGTATTGTCTGTGCCGTTGAGGAGTGGTGCTTCTAGCCTGCAGCGCTAATGAGGAATTTGGCAGGAGAGGGGGGCGCGGGATGATGTCTGGAGATGAGACTCCACAGGCAGAATATACTGTACACAATGGGAGGGAGTCTGAATAGGCTTAGAGTAACTGTCTCAATGCAATGCACAATAGCAGCGTAATTAGCACACAATACCAGTCTGGGGAGTATTACAGTGCCTTCAGAAAGTATTCACAACCCTTGACTTTTTCCACATTTTGTTGTGCTACTGCCTGAATTTAAAATGGATACAATTTTGATTTTTTTGTCACTGACCTACACACACTACCCCATAATGTCAAAGTGGAATTTGGTTTTTGACTTTGTTGCAGCCTTGTTGCTAGCCCTTGCATCATCCATATGAAGTTGGTGCATTTGGAAAGTATTCAGACCCCTTGACTCTTTCCACATTTTGTTACTGTTTCTGCTTTGTCAATATGGGGTATTGTGTGTAGATTGATGAGGGAAGAAAAACGATGTAATCCATTTTAGAATAAGGCTGTAACGTAACAAAATGTGGAAAAGGAGAAGGGGTTTGAATACTTTCCAAATGCACTGTAAGCTTACCGTGTGACTGTGCTTTTTGGCTGGCTTTCTGGCTCTGGATAAGACTGAGGGGCCCAGCTGTGTGTGTGGTTTCGCCACCAGACAGAGAGCAGACACAGAAACCTCAAGACCAGCAGTTCCAGAGAAAGCCAGGGAGATACATTTTCCCTTGCTTCAGTTCACCCTCTAAAACCACTGAACCCAAGATGGTACCCCATCGCCCTGTTTATGAGAGGGACCGGGCTCGCCCTCTGACCCCTGCCCTCCCGTCTCGCCCCACACACACACAGTGTGAAAGCAGCTGCAGAGGCTCTGATGCTGTGTGAGCAGTGAGGCAGGAGGATTGTGATACAGTCCCTTCTCGTCACAGAACACTGCAAGTTGCCTTACCACAGCCATGCTGGCTCTAGCTGTAGGTAGCTGTGCAGATCTGTGCGCATCACACACAGGCACAGGCGTACACACACACTCTTGTCTCCTCGCTCTGATTAGTTCAGTAAGGCAGCGTGATTCCTCCTGAGATCCAGGAATGCTGGCTGGCTGACTGGAGAAAAATGGAGGACTTTCATTGACATTCTAGCTCTTTTTAAACTACTGGCCCCCAAACGCTCTTAGGGGCCACTTCAACACAATGTCAGATAAGGGTAGTGTTGAAAAGAGTCTGTCGCAATCAGCGATAATGGGATAATAACCAACCAATCAAACTGTATACAGTCTGATTAACATTATTGTCTAAAGATAGAATCTTCCAAATATGGTTAAGGGTTTGATGAAAATTCTTCATTAATTTGATTTTATGCTGCTGTGTAAGTACAGTTTTTTCCTTCTCGGACGACATGGTCATGCATGGTCTGTTCCGACATTTGTTGACATGATGTATCTGAGGTAAATAGTAATGTTATTACTAACTTTACCGAGTAGAAAGTTCCAGGAAATGGAATGAGTGAGTAATGTGCCCACACCAGCTCCTTTGATCAGCCTGAGTAGTTTAATCCCTTGCATTCATGAGAAGGGATGACCAGACCGTGAATTCTGCTCAACCAGAGAATTCTGCTGCCGTGCTTCTTTCTGACCAACAAACACAAAAAAACTTGAACTGCTTGATATGGGCATTTGACTTGAAAATGACCATATCTGATAGATCTGATAAGGCTCTCGTAGTAATGTAATTTAGAAATCAGAAAATGAAGACTGGAAAATGAATTTGAAGTGAGGTTAGTTAATAATCTCAATGGAATAGTGAAGAACACAGTCACATACACTATATATGCAAAAGCATGTGGACACCCCTTCAAATTAGTGGATTCTGCTATTTCAGCCACACCCGTTGCTGACAGGTGTATAAAATCGAGCACACAGTGATGCAATCTCTATAGACAAACATTGGCAGTAGAATGGCCTTACTGAAGAGCTCAGTGACTTTCAACGTGGCACAGTCATTGGATGACACCTTTCCAACAAGTCAGTTGAAGCGCGTAAAAATCGTCTGATTTTGGAATGAGATGTTCGACGAGCATGTGTCCATATACTTTTGGTCATGTAGTGTATGATACATGTGTTTTTGCTTACTTGGCTATATCAGGTTGTTAAACTGATTTATGCTGGAGAACTTCTCGGTACAAGTGAGGAACAGGTCTTAATGTCCCTGTTTGTGAATGTGCCTTTGTGCTATTTCGTAAGTCTTACTTAGCAATGTATACACCCTTTGAGTTTGTGGTGTCAAAGTATTTTTCTGCTTAGTGCTCAACTTCACTCAGAATAGCCCAGTGCCACAGTTCAGCATTTCCTGAGTTTGTGCTGGAGCCATGCCCCCCCCCCCCCCCCCAGCACTGGGTTGAAGTTCAGACAGAGAGAGGAGGAGAGAGAGGGAGAAATAGATAAAGAGAAGAAGTGACAATAACAGACAGAGAAAAAAGAAAGTTGGCGACAGAGACAGTCTGAGAAAAAGAGAGAGAGCGAGACAGAGGCAAGAGGAAAGAGAGAGGGGCAGAAAAAAAGAGGGAGAGATTGAGTCTGTGACATTACTGAAGGTGGGGGGGGACGTGACTCCCCATCCTTATACGGTCACATGCAATCCTGGCACGGTTACTGAGGAGCAGCGAAAACATGCTCATTTAAAGCTTACATAAACACCGGGCCACATATCCAGCACCCTTCACAGCACAGCACCTCGTCCTCCCCACAAGGGGAGGGGCAAGGAAGAATGCTGTGGAATTCGAAAGGGAGTGCATTCAGAGAAGGCCCAGCGTTTTTTCCTCCGGAACTCAGGACTGAAAAAGGAAATGCGCCTCAGGGAAGGTTTGGCAGCCACATACCTGGCGGGAATGTGTGTGGAGTGGAATTTCAGCCATTTTGGAAAGAGTGAGAACTTAATCCGAAACAAATGTAGGGAAATGACTTGTGAGCGGAGGTATGAGTCAGTTGACAGTAGTCTGACTCAGCTCGTCATTTAAATAAATGCAGGCTACACAATTTAGTAAATTAAAATGTCTTTATTAAGAGGAGTTTTCTGTATTTTGTTCTGCCATTGAACTGTGTCTTTTTGACCTAGGGGATGCCTACGATGTGTGTGCCATATGCCTGGATGAGTATGAGGAGGGAGACAAGCTCCGGGTCCTGCCCTGCTCTCACGGTGAGGCTTGGCCTGCTATGCCCTACACCCACCTACCCTCTCTGTTACTCCTCTTCCCCTTCCTCTGCCTCTACCCCACCCCCATCCAGCAACCTGTGCTCCTCCACTGCAGCCCTCTAGATCAGTGTTTTCCAACTCTAGTCCTCAAGTACCCCCATAATTACAAATTTTTGTTGTAGCCCCAGTCAAGCACACCTAATTTTAAATTAGTCAACTAATCATTAAGCCCTCAATGAGTTGAATCAGGTGTCTTATAACAAAAATGTGTGCTGTTGGAAGTTGGGAAACATTGCTCTAGATACCATACTGAACACTGTCTATGTATGGCCTGTATATGATTATTTACACTATACATTACCAGTCAAAAGTTTGGACACACCTACTCATTCAAGGGTTTTTCTTTATTTTTACTATTTTCTACATTGTAGAATAATAGTGAAGACCTCAAAACTATGAAATAACACATATGGAATCATGTAGTAACCAATAAAGTGTTAAACAAATCAAAATATATTTTAGATTCTTCAAAGTAGCCACCATTTGCCTTGATGACAGCTTTACACACTCTCTCAACCAGCTTCATGAGGAATGCTTTTCCAACAGTCTTGATGGAGCTTCCACATATGCTGAGCACTTGTTGGCTGCTTTTCCTTCACTCTGCGGTCCAACTCATCCCAAACCATTTCAATTGGGTTGAGGTCGGGTGATTGTGGAGGACAGGTCATCTGATGCAGCACTCCATCACTCTCCTTGGTCAAATACCCCTTACACAGCCTGGAGGTGTGTTTTGGGTCAATGTCCTGTTCAAAAACAAATGATAGTCCCACTAAGCTCAAACCAGATGGGATGGCTTATCGCTGCAGAATGCTGTGGTAGCCATGCTGGTTAAGTGTGCCTTGAATTCTAAATAAATCACTGACAGTGTCACCAGTAAAGCACCCCCACACCATCACACCTCCTCCTCCATGCTTCATGGTGGGAACCACACATGTGGAGATCATCCGTTCACCTACTCTGCGTCTCACAAAGACACGGCGGTTGGAACCAAAAATCTCACATTTGGACTCACAACCAAAGGACAGATTTCCACCGGTCTAATGTCCATTGTTCGTGTTTCTTGGCCCAAGCAAGTCTCTGCTTCTTATTGGTGTCCTTTAGTAGTAGTTTCTTTGCAGCAATTCGACCATTAAGGCCTGATTCACGCATTCTCCTCTGAACAGTTGATGTTGAGATGTGTCTGTTACTTGAACTCCGAATAATTTAATTGGGCTTCAATCTGAGGTGCAGTTAACTGTAAATAACTTATCCTCTGCAGCAGGTAACTCTGGGTCTTCCTTACCTATGGCGGTCATCATAGCGCTTGATGGTTATTGCGACTGCACTTGAAGAAACCTTAAAAGTTCTTGAAATGTTCTGGATTGACTGACCTTCATGTCTTAAAGTAATGACGGACTGTCGTTTGTCTTTGCTTATTTGAGCTGTTCTTGCCATAATTTGGACTTGGTATTTTACCAAATAGGGCTATCTTCTGTATACCACCCCTCCCTTGTCACAACACAACTGATTTGGCTCAAACGCATTAAGTAGGAAAGAAATTCCACAAATGAACTTTTAACAAGGCACACCTGTTAATTGAAAAGCATTCCAGATGACTACCTCATGAAGCTGGTTGAGAGAATGCCAAGAGTGTGCAAAGCTGTCATCAAGGCAAAGGGTGGCTACTTTGAAGAATCTCAAATATAAAATATACACTGCTCAAAAAAATAAAGGGAACACTTAAACAACACAATGTAACTCCAAGTCAATCACACTTCTGTGAAATCAAACTGTCCACTTAGGAAGCAACACTGATTGACAATACATTTCACATGCTGTTGTGCAAATGGAATAGACAACAGGTGGAAATTATAGGCAATTAGCAAGACACCCCCAATAAAGGACTGGTTTTGCAGGTGGTGACCACAGACCACTTCTCAGTTCCTATGCTTCCTGCCTGATGTTTTGGTCACTTTTGAATGCTGGCGGTGTTTTCACTCTAGTGGTAGCATGAAACGGAGTCTACAACCCACACAAGTGGCTCAGGTAGTGCAGCTCATCCAGGATGGCACATCAATGCGAGCTGTGGCAAGAAGGTTTGCTGTGTCTGTCAGCGTAGTGTCCAGAGCATGGAGGCGCTACCAGGAGACAGGCCAGTACATCAGGAGATGTGGAGGAGGCCGTAGGAGGGCAACAACCCAGCAGCAGGACTGCTACCTCCGCCTTTGTGCAAGGAAGAGCAGGAGGAACACTGCCAGAGCCCTGCAAAATGACCTCCAGCAGGCCACAAATGTGCATGTGTCTGCTCAAACGGTCAGAAACAGACTCCATGAGGGTGGTATGAGGGCCCGACGTCCACAGGTGGGGGTTGTGCTTACAGCCCAACACCGTGCAGGACATTTGGCATTTGCCAGAGAACACCAAGATAGGCAAATTCGCCACTGGCGCCCTGTGCTCTTCACAGATGAAAGCAGGTTCACACTGAGCACATGTGACAGACGTGACAGAGTCTGGAGACGCCGTGGAGAACGTTCTGCTGCCTGCAACATCCTCCAGCATGACCGGTTTGGCAGCCTGAGCGCTAGCATTCTTAGAAAACCGCCCTAGCTTCTGGACGCTGTCAAACTATACTAATACTGTATACAGTACTGGTAATGTAGAAGCTAAATAGACTACAGTGAGGGAAAAAAGTATTTGATCCCCTGCTGATTTTGCCCACTGACAAAGAAATGATCAGTCTAATTTTAATGGTAGGTTTATTTGAACAGTGAGAGACAGAATAACAACAACAAAATCCAGAAAAATGCATGTCAAAAATGTTATGAATTGATTTGCATTTTAATGAGGGAAATAATTATTTGACCCCTCTGCAAAACATGACTTAGTACTTGGTGGCAAAACCCTTGTTGGCAATCACAGAGATCAGATGTTTCTTGTAGTTGGCCACCAGGTTTGCACACATCTCAGGAGGGATTTTGTCCCACTCCTCTTTGCAGATCTTCTCCAAGTCATTAAGGTTTCGAGGCTGATGTTTGGCAACTCAAACCTTCAGCTCCCTCCACAGATTTTCTATGAGATTAAGGTCTGGAGACTGGCTAGGCACTCCAGGACCTTAATGTGCTTCTTCTTGAGCCACTCCTTTGTTGCCTTGGCCGTGTGTTTTGGGTCATTGTCATGCTGGAATACCCATCCACGACCCATTTTCAATGCCCTGGCTGAGGGAAGGAGGTTCTCACCCAAGATTTGACGGTACATGGCCCCGTCCATCGTCCCTTTGATGCGGTGAAGTTGTCCTGTCCCCTTAGCAGAAAAACACCCCCAAAGCATAATGTTTCCACCTCCATGTTTGACGGTGGGGATGGTGTTCTTGGGGTCATAGGCAGCATTCCTCCTCCTCCAGTTGAGTTGATGAGTTGAGTTGATGCCAAAGAACTCCATTTTGGATCTGACCACAACACTTTCACCCAGTTCTCCTCTGAATCATTCAGATGTTCATTGGCAAACTTCAGACGGGCCTGTATATGTGCTTTCTTGAGCAGGGGGACCTTGCGGGCGCTGCAAGATTTCAGTCCTTCACGGCGTAGTGTGTTACTAATTGTTTTCTTGGTGACTATGGTCCCAGCTGCCTTGAGATCATTGACAAGATCCTCCTGTGTTGTTCTGGGCTGATTCCTCACCGTTCTCATGATCATTGCAACTCCACGAGGTGAGATTGACAGTTCTTTTGTGTTTCTTCCATTTGCGAATAATCGCACCAACTGTTGTCACCTTCTCACCAAGCTGCTTGGCGATGGTCTTGTAGCCCATTCCAGCCTTGTGTAGGTCTACAATCTTGTCCCTGACATCCTTGGAGAGCTCTTTGGTCTTGGCCATGGTGGAGAGTTTGGAATCTGATTGATTGATTGCTTCTGTGGACAGGTGTCTTTTATACAGGTAACAAACTGAGATTAGGAGCACTCCCTTTGAGTGTGCTCCTAATCTCAGCTCGGTACCTGTATAAAAGACACCTGGGAGCCAGAAGTCTTTCTGATTGAGAGGGGGGTCAAATACTTATTTCCCTCATTAAAATGCAAATCAATTTATAACATTTTTGACATGTGTTTTTCTGGATTAATTTTTTGTTATTCTGTCTCTCACTGTTCAAATAAACCTACCATTAAAATTATAGACTGATCATTTCTTTGTCAGTGGGCAAACGTACAAAATCAGCAGGGGATCAAATACTTTTTTCCCTCACTGTAAATGCCATTTTCTTGGTGAAAAGGGCTGGTTTTAAGGCATTAATTCCTGAAATGTCCACAATCCCCTATTTGTAAACATATTAAGCTTAAATCCTAGTATTGTAATACATTAAGTGTTGTAGCCAAACCTAATCAAAATTGTCCACCCTTATATAGTCATGGTACAACATGAATTCAATAGATGACAAGTACACCCTCAGGATTACCTTGTGTGTTGTACTTTACCTTTGATTTACAACCCTAGTAATCAATATCCATGGAAAAACCCTTCATGCTGCCTATGATTGTGAGTGTAATGACCTTTTCCCTGTCCTCTCCCTCCCTGCAGCTTACCACAACAAGTGCGTGGACCCCTGGCTGACCAAGACCAAGAAGACGTGTCCCGTGTGCAAGCAGAAGGTGGTCCCCTCTGCGGGCGACTCAGACTCCGACTCGGAGGAGGGCGACAGCGAGCCCGATGAGAATGAGGTGTCAGAGAGCACCCCGCTGCTGCGCTCCCTGGCCTCCACCAGCGGCCACTCCTTTGGCACCGTGTCGGGCGCCTCGCGCTCCGAGCCCGATCAGGAGTCATCCGAGTACGAAGACGACCACCTGGACACCAGCGATGACAGCGAGATCACTGTGGAGACTGTCACCGTGGAAACGGTGGTGCAGGAGCCTGGTCCCAACGACCACGACCCGTTCCGCGCCTGATTGGTTGGCCTGAGTTGACAGACAGGTGGCCGGTTCCCCCGCCCCTCTCTCCCACTCACCCTATGGGGCTGCAGAGACTCACGCTGGAGGCGTGGTCGAGAGGATTTGTTTAATTTTTACATCTCCGTTTAATAAAAATCTATTTTATCTCCTTCCAAGTTTAGAATGCAAATCACCATAATTCTCCTTTTGTTGTATTTTTTACCTGATTACTGAAGGGTGGGACAATGTGCAGATAGTGTCTGGATGACAAGATGAGTGTCATCACGTGTTTTGGGCTAACCGGCATCGATTTCACAGGAATGTTGCTGTACAGTAGACTGTACTTTACTCTGGTTTATCAGTATGGGGTGGTTTTCTGCAGACATCCTCCGACTAGGGTTATACTCTATTCACTGTGAGAAAGGGCTCGATGCTGCCGTGTGCACGAGCATGCTTGACACCAACTGTGAAGGAATGCATTGTGTATTTATATAATGTATAGATCACCATAATTAACATCTTAAAACATTGATTATTTTGTAGCCTGTATATCTGTATGCCTCTGTATCAGAAGGTGGGGAAGCAAAACAAAAAAGTGATATTGTATATATTCCTGCTGCATATGCATATAATGATCTAAATCTAAAGTACTATGCAGCAGCCTTTTATAAAATTGATTGAACTGACCTTTTCCATGTGAATATATAAAAACGAGAGGCCATGGGAACTGGGTTTTGCCAATCGCTCTCTACCCTGAGATCCTGGAGCCAGTCGCTCATCTCAGAGTATGATTTTGATGCGACTGATCTGTTACGTTGACCTGCACAGACAAAATTAAGTCAAACCGGTTGTGCATTCAGCCAAAGGAAGAAAAGTTTTCTATGTGTTTGCCCAATGTTATGGGTAACCTCTCTGCAGTCGTGTAATACAAGCAGAGGGGGTGGGGAGAAAAATATTTGTTCAGATAGTACCCGCGTCTACACTGCTACAAGCAGCCTGCTGTAATTTGGCTGCTCTAGACATATCACACACCAATTCCCTGAAATGCATGATGCCATTGGTGGATAGACCTTGCAACATGTATTTGGTTTCACGGCATATTGTAATACTGTAAGTAGGAAGTTCTACAAGTAAAAATTTTTTTTCTAATATGACTTGTAGTGTTCTATGTTGAGTCCTGTTGCCTTTTTATTTGATGTCTTGTAAATATCTTATGCTCACACATGCCTGTATTCAATTTAATTTCACTTCAATAAAGACACTGTTTGTCAAAAGAATGCTGAGGCCTTCCATCCATAAAGAGGTTTGTGATCATGGCACAAAGCTACAGTGATTTAATGAAGTGTGTTCTTCATTATCAATGTTGCACAGAATTTTTATGATTGATCAGAACAAGTAGTGACACTGGATCAGTGAACCATAAACCAGCTATGTTACCGTGCACTGTGGCCAGGACATTGGTTTCAGAAGCCCCATCTCTTTGATCAGACTTATAGGTAACAGGTTACACGGTAGCCTGGATCTCTCACCATTACATAATGGAGACGATTAATTATTACTTCCATTTTGGTTTGACAATCAGCGCTGTTATTGTGTCCAATTTATGCAGGTTCTAACATGAGAAAAAGCCTGAACCGTGTAATACTTGCCAAGTGTCCTAGACTACACTAATTATGCCATATGCTGTATACAGTGCATTCGGAAAGTATTCAGACCATTCACTTTTTTCACATTGTTACGTTACAGCCTTTTTCTAAAATGTATTAAATTACGATTTTTTCTAAACAATCTACACACAATACCCTGTATTGACAAAGGTTTTTAGAAATATTTGTACATTTAAAAAAAATGTAAAACATACCTTTATTACATAAGTATTCAGACCCTTTGCTATGAGACTCGAAATTGAGCTCCAGTGCATCCTGTTTCCATTGATCATCCTTGAGATGTCTCTACAACTTGGAGTCCACCTGTGGAAAATTCAATTGATTGGACATGATTTGGAAAGGCACACACCTGTCTATATAAAGGTCCCACAGTTGACAGTGCATGTCAGAGCAAAAACCAAGCCATGAGGTCGAAGGTATTGTCCGTAGAGCTCCGAGACAGGATTGTGTCGAGGCACAGATCTGGGGAAGGGTACCAAAAAATGTATGCAGCATTGAAAATCCCGAAGAACACAGTGGCCTCTATCATTCTTAAATGGAAAAGGTTTGGAACCACCAAGACTCTTCCTAGAGCTGGCCGCCCGGCCAAACAGAGCAATCAGGGGAGAAGGGCCTTGGTCAGGGAGGTGACCAAGAACCTGATTGTCACTCTGACAGAGCTCCAGAGTTCCACTGTGGAGATGGGAGAACCTTCAAGAAATACAACCATCTCAGCAGCTCTCCACCAATCAGGCCTTTATGGTAGAGTGGCCAGACAGCCACTCCTCAGTAAAAGGCACATGACAGCCCGCTTGGAGTTTGCCAAAAGGCACCTAAAGGACTCTCAGACCATGAGAAAAAAGATTATCTGGTCTGATGAAACCAAGATTGAACTCTTTGGTCTGAATGCCAAGTGTCACATCTGGAGGAAACATGGCACCATCCCTACGGTGAAGCATGGTGGTGGCAGCATCATGCTATGTGGATGTTTTCAGCGGCAGGGACTGGGAGACTAGTCAGGATCGAGGGAAAGATGAACGGAGCAAAGTATAGAAAAATCCTTGATGAAAACCTGCTCCAGAGTGCTCAGGACCTCAGACTGGGGTGAAGGTTCACCTTCCAACAGGACAACGACCCTAAGCACACAGCCAAGACAACGCAGGAGTGGCTTCGGGACAAGTCTCTGAATGTCCTTGAGTGGCCCAGCCAGAGCCCGGACTTGAACCCGATCGAACATCTCTGGAAAGACCTGAAAATAGCTGTGCAGCAACGCTCCCCATCCAACCTGACAGAGCTTGCGAGGATCTGCAGAGAAGAATGGGACAAACTCTCCAAATACAGGTGTGCCAAGCTTGTAGCGTCATACCCAAGAAGACTTGAGGCTGTAATCGCTACCAAAGGTGCTTCAACAAACTACTGAGTAAAGGGTCTGAATACGTATGTTTTTACTGTTGTTTTTTATTTTTAATACATTTGCAAAAAAATCAAAAAACCTGTTTTTGCTTTGTCATTATGGGGTATTGTGTGTAGATTGAACAATTACATCAATTTTAGAATAAGGCTGTAATGTAACAAAATGTGGATGTGGAAAAAGTCAAGGGGTCTGAATACTTTCTGAATGCACAGTATACCCTAGCTGATTTCATTAAAACACATAGGGTGTGTCTATATATGGAAAAATACACGTTTTAAAATTTGATTGGTCGAAAGAAAAGACTACTCTTGGTCAACCAATAATTTTTTTGTCAGGGACAGCCCTAGTAGAAATGCAGGAAATGAACTTCAGATGCCCCAAAAAATTGAGGGAGAACCCCCAGACCAGCCGCCAGGTGATGTCCCCCCCCCCCCCCCCCCCCTTCTAAAACCAAAGTTGCGCCCCTGGTAATGATCATGCTGTTTAATCAGCTTCTTGATATGCCACACCTGTCAGGTGGCTGGATTATCTTGGCAAGGAAAAAATGCTCACTAACAGGGATGTAAACAAATTTGTGCAAAACCTTTTAGAGAAATAAGATTGTTGTGCATATGGAACATTTCTGGGATCTTCTATTTCAGCTCATAAGCATGGGACCAACACTTCACATGTTGCGTTTTTATTTTTGTTCAGTATAATTGAAATTGATTTTAGGGAAAGCTTCCCCTAGAGTTATGGACGCACCACCTATGCTTGCACATTAAAAACATAACCTCCATTTGCTATTCGAGTGCAGGCTACGGATGACATGTTTTTTTTTGTGGGCCATTCTAAAATAATTCCACACATATATTAGTATGCTATATGTAAAAGAACAGATTCAATTAAGAATAGTCTGATGGGTGAGAATATTATCAAGTGCTTATCAAATTGTGAATGAGAGACTGATTAAGTGTGTGCAGACTCCGCAAGAAACTCATGCCTTTCATGCGACTTCTTTCAAATCATTATTAGAGTCGCATCATGCAGCCTTAGAATGTATTAAAAATCTAAACATGTAGCCTAACCTTTATATCACAACTAAAGTTGCATAAATAACTAAATTAAGCATTTAGGAGGACCTGTTTCTTTGTTAACCGCTCAACACAGAATAGCCAGTCCCTTGGACATCGTTGGGGGTAAATATCCTTTCTATTTTATTCAGCTATGTTCAATTGTAGGCCTATTTTTCATACTATAAAACAATATAAAATGCCATGGAATTCTAAGCAAATCTTGTCTGCTAAATGAACTAGTGTAGCCCACAGCCATATGGCATATCCCGCCAGCTCAGGGCCTAACATATGGACAACTCAGAATATGCTATTCTGTTCTTCTGAAATAGGCTACATTATTTTCATATAATGTTTATTTACACCTGTCTAAATAATGGATTTATTGTGATGGTGTAGACTATATTAAATGGGTTTATTAGACTTTTCAAAATATAGATGTTCCGAAGGTCCGCATCAGTGACTTGTACGCTATGCTTGGAAGCCAGGAGATGCTAAATGTGTTTGTTAATTAACGGTCAATTGCAGTGAGACCAGCAGTTATTTGCATGACAATCACCAGCTGACAAAATTTAATGACCGCCACAGCCCTATCAGCACCTCAGGAGTAAATGTCAGTTGGCTTTTCATAGCCAAGCATTCAGAGGTCGAAACAGCAGGTGCGGTAGAGAGAGAGCGAGCGAGCGAGAGATAAAGGGTCGAAACAGCAGGTCCAGGATAACACATGGGGATAGTGTGTTGATATCCCTAATATTCAATGAACATGAGCATAAATGTTTTTTGTTCAGATTTAAATTGATTAAACACAAAAACTACAGTTACGCATATTGTGCATCTAGCCATGGTGCCTTTACCAAGATTAGAAACCTCTGTACTCTCTCCAAGACGTTTGGAGTGGACAGGTAGTCATTGATGCAGAGAGAGAGGAATAAGATCAGGGTTGAGGGGTATCAGGGATAGAAGATTTACAAGTGGTGGATAAAAATGGTAACAAATGAGGGACAAAATGACTATTGGGCGACTACTCATGCACTTTTGGGTGGGGGCATTGTCATATTGTCTTTCTTTCATCCAGGTGATCCGTTTTTTTGGTCCACCACCTGTACCTTTTTAATACACAGTAGAGAGGGAGATTTGAAACGGTCTTCAGATAAGCTATAGGAAGACAAGTTGAACTAATTAACAAGAATAGCAGTACAGCAAATGTGAATCAGCTTTCAGATAATTAATTGAAAGTTGTGTGTGTTATGGTCTTTGTTGCATGGCTTCTTATCCACAGAGGGCCAGTGTGGGTGCAGGTTTTTGTTCTAACCAAGCAATAACACACCTGATTCAACTAATCATGTCTTGACTGAAGTCTGATTAGTTGAATCAGGTGTGTACTGGATGGCAAGAACAAAAGCCTAAATCCACATTGATCTCTGTGGATACGATTGGACACCCCCCTGTTACAAGTGTTACTGAATAGCAATGATCCGTTTATTTTAACTTTAGGGGAGATTAATCTAATCAAATGTTACAAAATAAATGTCCGTTTGTAAATTTTTATAATTTGGAAATGAAAATTGATTATTTAAGAGGTGAGCTTATTTGGAACACCCATGGGCTTAAAGGATACAACAGTACCCATTAAACCCAGTCCGGACTTTTCACATTTTATCAAATTTGTCTTAACACGTAAGTAAAGTCATAAAACTTTGAGAGATTAATCTGTAATTTTATATCCACTTTTTCTAGGGCAGTATATGTTAGTTCGTTCGACGTTGTGGGATTTTTATGCGTCTGTATAATGAATTATGCAAGAAATGCCGGTGGAAACACCTATATGTGCAAATATTGATACAAAAACCATCATATTGAAGTAACTTCGAATCACGCGATTATATGGTGTGTGGTCCTCCCACTATGCCTCAGGAAACCATGCATTTTATTAGTCTACAGATGAAATAAGTTATAATTTACTTCACAGGATGGTGAAAGTGCACAGTGATCTTGATGCTCCTTTCCAATAAATATCGAGGGTCTGATTCGGGTGACATGATCAATGCTTTACTGCCGTTTGACAAATACAAATATTCTCACTTATCCATAATAATCTCATGTAGCCTACCCGCACAGTATCTGTGAGCTGTTGGCTAGAGCGTACATGCCAAGACCAGAGTAGGCATATTTGCTATTCAACCCAACAGTTTGTGACAAAACTAACGGTAGATTTAAAAATGCGATGGAAACATTTAACTTGATTTTCATTCGGTACATGAAAACTTAAGCGAAAAAGTACATAGTCTGCACTACGTCATCACTCACTGATTGTTATCTGCAACAAATCAGCTTGGTGGAAACACCACTGGTGGGAAAATGTGCATATTTTCTTTAGGTAGATTTGAGAATATTCGCAGTAAAATATAAAATCACCAATAGGATGGAAACATGGCTATAGTTGAAGACTTCATATAAGTGCTTTGAAATAGCTTAGGAACTGTGCACACTTTGGGAGGCGTGTGGCCACTTGGACAAACCAGTCAGTGCTCTCATTGAAACCCTTGTAATTTTTTTCGTCTTATGTTACTGAATGTATCCAGAGTATTTTCTACCTTCGTGGTCAACAAATGCGGCGAAAAGTACAGTAAATGTAAAATGCACAAAATCAGTGTTTGGATTCAGTCGTGTCAGTTGAATTGTTGTGTACCCACTCACCTTTGGTCTAATCATTTTCCCATTAGCTCCAAACTGTTCCCTTTCAATCGCTACCATGGTTATGCATATGCTTTTCATATTTCTTCTGTAAAACTAGAGGCCAACCGATAGGTTAGTCAGATGTATTTTTGGGGGACAAAAACGTACCGATATAGCTGCCAATATACTGTTTTAATCAGGAAATAAAAACACTTTCCCACACTGAATTCTCATAAAATTGCCATCCAAAAGAGCAATTGTCCAATAACTATACTTAAAATGTTGATTTCATACATTGTGACAATGACATGAGAATGGCAGCAAGCATTCAGATAAGCATGAGATTCCCTTCCACCCCCATCCTATTTATTGAATACCGGTGGAATTGTCAGCCAATACCGATATAGCGGTAAAAAGCCAATATCGGTTGATATCGGTCGGGCTCTACAAGAAACAGTTTAAATTTAGCCCTATCCATATAGGCCAATTCCCACAAGTGTAAAGGAACACTGAAGCAATTAAATCACTTTCCAGTTGTTGCAGTGATACTCTTAATTCCCCGAGTTCGGTTACTTCTACAGAAACCAAGACATTAACTAAATGCATTTACCATCAGGTTACGTCTTGAAATATCAAGTCTACTACAAAGAAAAACGGTGATAATATATTGGGACCCTTCTATACATGGTGAAGGGATGAAGAGGCACCTACCCTGAATTAGGCCGGGATACAATCCGACCACAGGTTGTGAAGTGTCTTAAAGAAAAATGTTCCCGCTTTCACAGTAAACGCTGCTTGTTGGCTCAATCGGAAATTTCCTTTAGAAGCTGTATTGTCGACAATTGAATCCCGGCCTGTGTCTAGTATAACACCTATGTTTAATGATTGTGAATTGTTGCTTCCCCAATTCTATGCTGATACAAAAGATTCAGACCTAAGCCAAATGTTTCAGTCCCATCTAGCCCAGTGGTTTTCAAACCTCTCCTTGGGGACCCCCAGCCATTCCATGTGTTTGAACTATTTGAGCTAGCACACCAGATTCAACTTGTCAACTAATTACCAAGCCCTTGATTAGGTGATCAAGTTAAGGGCTACAGCAACATTTTGAAACTTCTGGGGGTCCCCGAGGAGAGGTTTGAAAGCCACTGATCTAGCCAATAAACACCCACTGTCAAGGAAATGCACATTTTAGTAGCTACATACCATCAGGCCGTGGGGGTTCCCAGGCCTAATTTTGCCACACTGACTAGGCCAACATCCTTGCACCTTTCTACAAAAGGAACATTTCCACCATGTTTACCGGCAACATACCTTTAAAGATTAACAAAGAGCATCCCAGTTGAACTATTTATCTCCAGGCCAGGATAGTAGGAGAACCTCCTGACCTATTCCAGTTTAATAAAAACTCTGGCTCAGAAACAATTTCCTACAAAGCAGAGTACATTTCAACTTGAAAAGCAAGAAAGCACACACAACCGATCTGGTTGGAATAAATTTATTTGATCGGTCTGTAAACAAGGTGATAAATCAATTTATGGCATTTCTTGGTTTATGCATATGAAATCAGATGTGTTAGAGACTATCCCAGGTGTAAGAAAGAGGTGTAGGGGAAAAAACAAAAATGAGCAAATAAGATTTTACTTAGTACACATATCCCACAAGGCCTGAACATTGGAGCAGATGCTAAAACATCCCTAAAAAGAAGTGCCAATGAAATGACCCCTTACTGAGCAGCAGTTAAAATCCAGATCTCTACATTATGGCACAGATACCCATGTTTTTTATTTTAGGTTTCCACAAGACAACCAAAGTGTTCTTATTCCAACCAATCCCATCTCCCATTAAATTGAGTGTCATTTCTACTGTAAGTTATTTTCAATTGGAGATTACATCAAGTACCGGGCTTGAACAGTTTGATACCACATCTTAGTTGATGACTAGAGAACAAGGCAATTTATTCCACAGTTTTGTTTCTTTACACAGCATGGGTTTACAAATGCAGTAATTCATTTCTTTTATTTATATATAAAAAAAATAAAAAAAACAACCCCCCCCCGCAGATTTATCTGGTGTCATGTGATAGTGTGGTTTTATAGTAGTATTGTTTTGCCTTCAGCAGAAAGATGAGGCTAGCAGTCATCCTTCACAATGATTTAGCTAGAGCAACTGTATAAAACACCCAAGCTGCAACAAAAGTTGGTCCTATGAAAAATTCTAACTGGACACACTCCAGATCGTTATGCAGGGATATCTACTGTCCAAAATGGCAGCCTTAAAAATAAAAAATATATTACAGGAGCTGGCAAACAATAGTTTAAGTGCCTGAGCCATTGCAACGATGGAATGTCCATGATGGGGTTCATGTAGTCATGAAGAGGGCGTGGGAGGAGATTCTACCTGCATCAATACTGATTTTTCCATTTGATTCAATCAATACCAAAACAGATAGGGGGCCCCCCCCCCTTAAAACCCCCATCTGGGAGAGGGGCTACGGAGGACTTTAAGGTGTAGTGGTTGAAGGAGTATGCCTCCTGAGTACTGATGGAGTGTCACCTCCTATGAACAAACAGGATGGGAAAGAGGGAGGGAAGGAGGAACGGACATTTGGCAGGAGTTACGGGGCACGTGAGAGACGGAACGACAGTATTTCAGTAGGCTCAAAGATATGCATGCAGTTTCCCCTCCCAGACATGCTCTAGAAAAGGAAGACAATATGAGCTTGATTACCGCTCAAGTGCTCCAAAAGGCATCAGCTGCTCAACGGTCTGAACTACCGGGCACCATCATATGAAATCTCAGTTTAATTTAGGTTTCCTTCACTTTAGAGTTTTCACTGAGAATTGGCTAGAATGGTGCAGGTCTTTATAAGTACAGATTTGTCACAATGTCCTGTTAACAACATGCTCATCTTTAACTATGGTGCAACAGTAGTGCTAGAATGGGATAGAGTACACAGTGTGAATGCATAAAGATGACTGGAAAGGACAAGAGAAAAGGGGATAAAAAAAAAAAAAATGGAACAAAAAAATGGGAGGGGGCAGAGGGGGGAGGGAGAAGAAAAAAAAGCAACTACCAACTGGAAGTACTGTGAAACGCAAGAGGGTGGTAAGGGTGAGCTGCTAGGTGGCTGGGCAGAGGCTGCTTTAGTATCCAGACTTCCTCAGGTAGTCAGCCATTGTATACGCTTTCTTGTTGAGCTGCCCTCCATGGACACCTTCCTTTCCCATGACTAAAACCAATGCTGGAGTACACAAGAAAAAAAACAAGAACAGAAATGAACAGACATGGTGGGGGGGGGATAAGAAACCACTTTTCCCCGCTAAACGTGGGGCTACATTGTTGACGTCAGGGTCTTAACCATGTGACCCTGCAGTGCCAATAACGCTTCCAGGACTAATTGTAATTTTAAATAGGACTGCTTGAAGGGAAATCTTAAAAGCAATTTCTCTTTTCTTTTTAAAGTTTTTTTGTGTGTGTTTTTCCCTTTAGTTCTCTCCTCAACTACTACACTTAGGCCAAGTCGAGACGAAACTAGAACCCTGAATCCCTTAAGTATTTTGCCATTGAGTATGCCTTCTTATTCAATCCGCCTCCATGGACCCCTTCTTTGCCCAATACAAGAACCAAGACTGAAAGAAAAGAGACAGAAGGGAAATTGAGAAAATGTGAAGTTAGATCATTTAATGTTAAAGAAATTGTCAAATCGAAACGAGAAGGTAACAGGGCGGGTTAGTATGAAGGAAGACATAGGAAGCTCACCAGAGGCCCCACCCATGGCCAATATGCAAGCATTCATTTTCTTATTATGGCTGCTGCCCTTGGACTGGGAGAAAGCTGTCACTAAAATTATGCAATAGTGCTGATGATTCAAGAAAGCCCATTAGCCTACAGTAAAATAGGCAAACCCCCATCTATCCTACTCTTCTGAAATAAGAGGAGGAATGTCTGAATCGTCCCCTTATGTTAACAAAGCCCATAAATTGCTTTTTTACACTCTGAAGCTATGACAACCGCACCAATTGCTCCATTCTAAAATGGTGTAAAAGGTGGCAATGACAAGTTCTGTAAATCAGAAACAAAACACTGGTCTAAGCCTACCCTTTACTTTATCCACTACTTAGCTATAGGAGCCTACATGACATGCCAGCAGCAGGGAGGAATAGGAAAGTGAATGCTTCACTCACTACCACCAACACTAATGCAGTACACATGCAGAGTCGGCATGCTTGTAGTACCTCTCCTCAATACATATGAACAGCAGCAAAATCCTATCAGAGAGGAAATGCCTAAATTGGCAGGGACTACGCTTAACATGTGATGGGGAATAACCTGAAATTGACACTTAAGAGTTGATGTGAGGGGAAAAGTGCATCAATTACAGAGGGATAGGCATGCAATTCAAGGTGGATTCGATTAGGAGGAAGACCAGAAGAGTGAACCCAGAAAAGGTTGCCCAGCTTGCCCTGTGACAGAAATCCTCCCACCTGTGTATTGCAAGTAGGAGTGTCATGGACTTAAAGCTGCTAGGGACGTAGGAGAATAGGGACCATAAAGGCAAAATGAACATTGGCACAACTCACAGGCATCTTGTCTTTCAAATGGCAGGGCATCTCCCCTTCAATTGGGTGGCCCAACAAGATTTTGGTGGATCATTTGGCTGGCTAGCAGTTGTTCAAATATTGTCCCTGAATCAGATCTGATGCAAAACGAACACCTCTTCTTTAAAACATTGGTATTGGTACTTGATTGGCTTCAACCTGAAAAATACTTGAAATTGAACTTTGAAGTCCATTATACTGAACCCTCTTTTCCCATACATAATAGTTGAGATAATAAAATCATTGAGGTTCTGTCTGTGCTTAAAAGGAAAATTACATTCAAAAAACATGTTGATACATGTTTCATTAGTCCACTGTTTGGAATGTCAGTAATCAAGTTTAGGATACAGAACTTTCAAAATACAGAGAGTGTCAATCTGCATTTTCAAAGTTCTACATCTTACACTTGATTGCTGACATGCAAAACATTTAAGACCGTATCAACAGTGGACTAATGAAACAAATACCAAAAAGGCATTTGAGTGGAATAACATAACTACATCAATCTATCAATTAGATTACAATAAACTTTTCAATTGTATTATATCCCTTTCTACTATTTTAAAACCCCCATCTAGGGACTGATGCTGCAAATTAGCATAAGCTAACGCATGACGGTGCAATGCATTTGTTGATATAATGTGTCAGATTTAATTGTATCTGTCCCTTAACAAATAAATAATATATTGAGGAAAGGTGAATACCAGTATATTGTACATGCACAGCAAACTATAATTACAACCAAACTAAACCTCTGCACTACATATAGCCTTAAATGTTTGAGTGAGCAGTGAAGAAATGGGACAGACATTACCTTTGCCGGCTTTGCCTATGGAAACGTTGTATGTGGGCTCTCCTCCTTGACTCTTTGTCCTGATGTCCATTGTCCAGTCCCCATCAGAGTGGAGGCTGTCTCTGATGACGGAGCACTTCTTTTGGCCTAGGGTCAGCCCGCCGCAGAAGAAAGCTTCTCGGTCCTTTCCTACTATGACGTCGATTTCTTCAACCTACAGATGAGATTGAGGGACAAATGTCAAGCATGTGAAGTTTGAAAGTCATTCAATTTCATATGCATAAAAATTACATTTGTCATTACACTACTGATAACATAATAGAAAATGTGACAGCTTGATTCTTCTCTCCAACACTCTCCAATGTCTAAAACAGCAAGACTCAAAGATGTATGAAAATTCAAAAAACTTCAGAGGGAGCATTATTTGGCAGTCAGAATTATTTTTAAATAAATGGGGGGGAAATGTAATCACTGTTGGGGTAACTAGGCAATTTAAGAAGTATTGCAGTTCACATTTGTCCTACCAGGCAGAAAGGAACAAACGCTGAAAAATAGTTTAGGGTACTGTGTGATATAGAGATTAAGTATAACCCATCTCGGCTTTCATAGGCCAGTGTCCACATTCAACTCTATAGACCATTGATTGCACCCTTTAAACTCATGTGTTCAGTGTACAAATTAAATATGATCCAATATTCAGTTCAATTTGGTTTTTGCAATACATAGGCATTGCTTGGCTGTCATGGTCAGGAGCTGATGCCTAGCTAGTCAGATTTCGTATAAAATAAGGTTCATGCCCATACAATTATTCAATGAAAGCAGACTGGTTTATTCTCAGGTTCCAAATTAAAATGATTGAGAACAAAAAGGCATGGCCCTCATACAGAAATTGCACAATCATACAACAGTCCCTTTCCTTTCGAAAAAAAAGACAAATGTGGCCAGCTAGTCAGCTATGCCATAACGCCTTGGCAAAGCTAGAAGCTGGCCTCCTCGTGGAAGTCTCTAGAACGCTAACGTTAGAGGCTAGTTCAAGCCAGAGTAAGGCTGTCCATAAAGGCAATACAGCAGGACAACTGACTTCACAGCTTGCCTACAACCTGTAACATTTGACTATAAGCCTAGCAGAGTAACTGCCAATTTATTCATGTCACAGCTATGAGAATGTGCCCAGAAATTGGTAACAAACAGCTAATGGTTAGATGTTTAACCCTAGCTTAGCAAAACCAAAGTAGCTAGCTAGAATACTGACAAGGAAGCATCTGACTGAAATAACCTCCAATGTTCGCACGGCCATTATGATACTGGGATCACTATTTAATCAGATTATGAATAATATCCTGTCGCAGTCCCACACTAGAAAGATAGTTAGCTAAAACATGCGTGTTTGTTATCGCGCTAACATGTAGCCAACTACGCGCCTGATGCAAACACTATCGAATAATTGTTCTGCACGCGCATGAATTGACACGCTTTAAACTGGTTTTGACAACACAAGCAACCCTAGCTAAATAGTTGATTTCGATGCTTGCTTGCTAGCTAACAAAATGGAGGTCCCACGAATGACTAGACTGATGCAATATGTAAAATAAACCTGCAGGCCAATTGGATGGTATACTATTGTACAACCAATTTGACTCGAGCTGGTGCATCCAATTCAGGTTCACATCCGATTAAATTGCGTAGACAGGAGAGGAAAAAAAGAATAAATGCAGAGTGGAGGCGCCATCTTGGGAAATCAAAAGGTGCGGGAGCGAGGACTTGATTCACAAATGTATCTGCGAATACCGCGGAGTGTACAAAGCAAATTGTGCATGTAACATATGCATGCAGCGTAATGAGCCACCAATTTTGGTTAATGACAGGCCTGATTTATGCCATTTTTCGCTCACGTCACCCCTCCCAACGCCCGCATTGCCGGCTAGACATAACGGTAAACGCTACATGTCGGGAAACCGGTCTCCATTTAACTTTCCCATATGCGGTATCAAGTTTCTGAAAGCACGGTTTTAATGTTTCATTTGCAAGTTCTAGTTGATGCCAGATAGTTATCAACACATTAGCCAGGCTAACTAAACGTGTTAGCCAGAAGCGGACTAACTGTTACCTCCTACACTTTCATGTTGAACAGTCAATGTTTAACAAACTCAAAAGGAACGCTTTAGACGTAGCGTAACACCATGACATCTTGAACTTGAATGTAGTTGTGGTTCTGAGCCTATGCACTTACATTTCAAATAAACATGTGCAAAAGTCTATAGCTGTACCGGAGAACACCGAATACCATGTGTGCTAACTAGCTCGCTAGTTTAGCCAACACTCAATGCCTGCCTTGAGCCTAACGTTACCTTATCATTCCATTCCGTCTAGGGCTTCCCCATTAGGCAAGGCCTTATTCCCATATTAAATTAACTAACAGCCTAAAATACCGGCATTTCCCTGTGTTTGTAGATAAGACTAATTATTTGATTATGTCCTTACCGTTATGTTAACAAATGTACCACCGGGAAACGATGCCCAGACATATTTGGCGTCCGTGTACCCAACAATGGCGGAGTCCTGGCAGCTTCCATCGGCCATCAGGTTATCCACGTAGCCTTGCCAGGACATACTTGCGTATTAGTTCAAATATGGAAAATCTTAAAAAATATATATTTGACGGGTACTCTCGAGCAACACCGAGGTTTCTGTAAGCTGTATTTTCGGTAATTCTGGGATCTCCGACAATTCCCCAGTTTCGTCACGACCCCGCTTTCTTCTGGGAATGGGCAGAGAAGAGAAGCCACTGCAATCCGGCAGCGCTGGGTGTAGTCCTTAAATAAATCACTCCGCGCAGTCGTTGTTAGGTTGAACTTCATAGCAAATCGTAGGTTGTCGCGGATGAATAAAATGGGTGTTACAGATCCAAAGAATGATTTGTACAGTGACCGTGTCTATTTTACGAACTTGTCAATATGCTGCTAACTACCATCGTTTGCATCTTATGTGATATTTTGCACAAGCAGTATGTTTCCGAATCGGTTAATGGTAGATTTATTTTGTCATATGACGTGTGCATAAATAGTCCTTATTTTCCCGCCACGATGTCATTTTACCCTATGAATCAAAGCTACGAAGTATCAGTCATTGGAAATTCTCTTCAATTGTGGATATCATCATCGCTCACCATCATCAGATTCAAGTGCAATAATTTGTTACACTTCTATTTATTGAAAGCATGCAAGAGGCACATTTTATTTTTGTGTTAGATTATATTCGTTCAGTTTAGAATGTTACTTATTTTACAACAAACAAGTCTGAGATCTTAATGACAGTTAAGAGAAACAAAACTAGCATATTTAGCACCACTTTGATTTTAAATTGTCAGTTTAGGGTTAATTGTCTCTTCAAATAAGCCTCCCTCTGTACCCCCCCCCCCCCCCCCCCCCCCCCCCCCCCCCACACACACACATTATTAGAAAATAGAGGTTGCCATATAAACTGACATTCGTGAGACCTATCACAAGAAACTTGGTGTACAGAATAAATACACATATTGGTTACTTATTAACTCACTCAGGGTGTAACAGGAGTCGATATCTATTCATTTTGTTAATCGCCATATGCGGGGAACAGCATGATACTTTTGATTTTCTGCCTAGTTCTCTGAGAGAAACTGTATTTAGCATATAACAAAAAACGATCATATTGTGAGAAAGTGATTAACAGAGCAATGTCTTTCTAGCCCGGTCCCAGATCTGTTTGTGCTATCATGTCAACTGCTGGTCACTCATTGTCATGACAAGGAGTTGACGGTAGCACAAACAGATCTGGGACCAGGCTAACCTCTTTCCACATGCTCTCATCCTTCACTGGTTCTGTGTGTGATGTATCCCTGTAAAGCGCTAGTCACTCACTGAGAGGTTCACAGAGAAGGATGATTGTGGTCAATTGCACTTGCCTGGCCAGGATTCTTTAATTGGACAAGCAAGCTGCAGTCTCATCTGAAGGAGACAGAGAAACATTCCAACTTGCTCTCACAAAAATAATGTCATTTGGGAGTAGTCAGCCTTTTATTGCCCCAGAGAGGCAGACTGTGACCATTGTCTCTGTTTTACCTGGGAGGATTCATTCATCCCTTGGCCCTCTCTCTCTTTTGGCCTCTCAGTAGTAGCCTATTGTAACATAATTCCCACTGTAAGAATGGCTGAGTTATTACCAAAGAGTCTCCCATAACCCCTTGTAGAATTCATCCAATCTAAGCACCCTGAGAATTTGCATGATATTGCCATGTTGGGACTATTACTTCAGAGGTGTGGTTTGCTTTCTGAGTTCATTCACTTTTCACAGATTGATACGAAGGTTGTAAGTAATATGTTCAGGCCTATTCCTCAGAAAAGCAGCATGTGTTCTATAAATACACACAACTTCCTCCTCTGACCTCCCAATTGAAAGAACCATAGTTATGTGACAGTCTTTGTTTTTCCATAAAGGTGCTGAGGAACATGGCAACATAGCAATATTCTCTAAGTAGATCAACTCAGGCCAGAGTACCTGGAATTTCACCTCACCTTATCTATTTGTTATCAAATAGCCAATCATAAAGAAGGTGAACTGTACAATAATTTTTTTTGTTAATCAGCTGACCACGCACATATCCGTCCCAATGTAGTTGGTTTCTAAGACAACCCTTGTTGTGTAGGGGTAGTTTGAACAACCAACTGAATGAGTCAGCCAGCCAAGGAGTCATGGACAGAAAGCTGACCCATTTTTATTTTTATTTTTACAGAGGGAACAACTCAGCAATAGTACTGCTGGCAAGGCAACCCTAATGGGTCACTCACCAATGTGTCATAGCACCGTGTATGTATAGTCCTATTGTATTGTCAAAGGCAGAAATATGCTTCTGCAGCTGCCATTACCATTACAGATTCTGGGCTCGGGAAGCTTATTCACTCTCTCTGTCATTCACTGGTGTACACTAATAACCTCAAATCAAATGTTGTTGGTCGCGTACACATATTTTGCAGATGTTATCGCGAGTGTAGCGAAATGCTTATGTTCTTAGCTCCAACAGTGTAGTAATACCTAACAATACAAAACAATACACGCAAATCCCAAAAACAAAAAGGAATTATGAAATATATAAATATTAAAACGAGTAATGTCAGAGTCCGGAATATAAATATATACAGTATGTACAGTGAGGGAAAAAAGTATTTGATCCCCTGCTGATTTTGTACGTTTGCCCACTGACAAAGAAATGATCAGTCTATAATTTTAATGGTAGGTTTATTTGAACAGTGAGAGGCAGAATAAAAACAAAAAAACCCAGAAAAACGCATGTCAAAAATGTTATAAATTGATTTGCATTTTAATGAGGGAAATAAGTATTTGACCCCCTCTCAATCAGAAAGATTTCTGGCTCCCAGGTGTCTTTTATAAAGGTAACGAGCTGAGATTAGGCGCACACTCTTAAAGGGAGTGCTCCTAATCTCAGCTTGTTACCTGTATAAAAGACACCTGTCCACAGAAGCAATCAATCAATCAGATTCCAAACTCTCCACCATAGCCAAGACCAAAGAGCTCTCCAAGGATGTCAGGGACAAGATTGTAGACCTACACAAGGCTGGAATGGGCTACAAGACCATCGCCAAGCAGCTTGGTGAGAAGGTGACAACAGTTGGTGCGATTATTCGCAAATGGAAGAAACACAAAATAACTGTCAATCTCCCTCGGCCTGGGGCTCTATGCAAGATCTCACCTCGTGGAGTTGCAATGATCATGAGAACGGTGAGGAATCAGCCCTAAACTACACGGGAGGATCTTGTCAATGATCTCAAGGCAGCTGGGACCATAGTCACCAAGAAAACAATTGGTAACGCACTACGCCGTGAAGGACTGAAATCCTGCAGTGCCCGCAAGGTCCCCCTGCTCAAGAAAGCACATATACAGGGCTGTCTGAAGTTTGCCAATGAACATCTGAATGATTCAGAGGAGAACTGAGTGAAAGTGTTGTGGTCAGATGAGACCAAAATGGAGCTCTTTGGCATCAACTCAACTCGCCGTGTTTGGAGGAGGAGGAATGCTGCCTATGACCCCAAGAACACCATCTCCACCGTCAAACATGGAGGTGGAAACAGTATGCTTTGGGGGTGTTTTTCTGCTAAGGGGACAGGACAACTTCACCGCATCAAAGGAACGATGGACGGGGCCATGTACTGTCAAATCTTGTGTGAGAACCTCCTTCCCTCAGCCAGGGCATTGAAAATGGGTCGTGGATGGGTATTCCAGCATGACAATGACCCAAAACACACGGCCAAGGCAACAAAGGAGTGGCTCAAGAAGAAGCACATTAAGGTCCTGGAGTGGCCTAGCCAGTCTCCAGAACTTAATCCAATAGAAAATCTGTGGAGGGAGCTGAAGGTTCAAGTTGCCAAACGTCAGCCTCGAAACCTTAATGACTTGGAGAAGATCTGCAAAGAGGAATGGGACAAAATCCCTCCTGAGATGTGTGCAAACCTGGTGGCCAACTACAAGAAACGTCTGACCTCTGTGATTGCCAACAAGGGTTTTGCCACCAAGTACTCAGTCATGTTTTGCAGAGGGGTCAAATACTTATTTCCCTTATTAAAATGCAAATCAATTTATAACATTTTTGACATGCGTTTTTCTGGATGTTTTTGTTGTTAATCTGTCTCTCACTGTTCAAATAAACCTACCATTAAAATTATAGACTGATCATTTCTTTGTCAGTGGGCAAACGTACAAAATCAGCAGGGGATCAAATACTTTTTTCCCTCACTGTATATGATATATGGTGGTCCTCTGTAGCTCAGCTGGTAGAGCACGGCGCTTGTAACGCCAAGGTAGTGGGTTCGATCCCCGGGACCACCCATACACAAAAAAATGTATGCACGCATGACTGTAAGTCGCTTTGGAAAAAAGCGTCTGCTAAATGGCATATTATTATTATTATTTATGATGGTGTGTATAGACATTATGGAGAGTATGTGAGTAGAAAAGTTGTGTACAGCAGTAGTTATATAGGATGAGCCTTGACTAGAATACAGTGTACTGGCAGGTAGCTTAGTGGTTAAGAGCGTTGTGCCAGTAACTGAAAGGTCGCTGGTTCTAATCCCCGAGCCGACTAGGTGAAAAATCTGTCGATGTGCCCTTGAGCAAGGCACTTAACCCTAATTGCTCCTGTAAGTCGCTCTGGATAAGAGCGTCTGCTAAATGACCAAAAAATACAAATGAAGTGGGTAAAACGGTATGTAAACATTATTAAAGTGCCCAATGACTATGTGCATGGGGCAGCAGTCTCTAAGGTACCGGGTGGTAGCTGGCTAGTAACAGGGACTAAAGTTCAGGGCATGGTACTGGGTGGAGGCTGGCTAGTGGTGACTATTTAATAGTCTGATGGCCTGGAGATAGAAGCTGTTTTTCAGTCTCTTGGTCCCAGCTTTGATGCACCTGTACAGTCTCCACCTTCTAGATGGTAGCGTGGTGAACAGGCCGTGGCTCGTTCACCCTGTGAGCATCAATCCACTACTTTGTCATGTATGGTTGGACCCACCCTGACTCTACACCACAAATCTCCTCTCTGCCAAGACAGGACCAAATATAGAGGCTGGTATGTGGGAATAGACTAGAGGAACAACAGTGGTTGGATCCCTAAAGATGACCCAGAAATTGCTAGAAATCTTAACCGTTCCAAGACCCCCTGCTATCATTGCACAATGCAGGGTCTGTCAAATCTTTGGCTAATTTGGGGAATCCCTATAATCTGGGAGGTCTTGTATTTCCCATGTGTGCTAATACAGG